TATTTTTAGTAGAGACGCAGTTTCACTGTGTTAGCCAGGATGGTCTCGATCTCCTGACCTTGTGATCCACCCACCTTGGCCTACCAAAGTGCTGAGATTACAGGCATGAGCCACTGCATCTGGCCAGAGATTTTTAAAGAATATATAATTCAATGGAATACCTCACCGTACTTCATTTATTATAATAGACATATCCTCAGATGCAAAGTGAGACCAGTGCCAAAAAGTTTTGGTTTCTTGGGAGTTCTAGTTCTCCACTGGATATGATGGGGGGTGGTGGTGAGACTACATGAGATTAGATATACAAAATATTTAGTGCTCTGTATGCCACATGTTAAGAATGCATTAAGTGCTTGGCAGGGTGCAGTGGCTCACACCTGTAATCTCAGCACTTTGGGAGGCCAGAGCAGGTGGATTGCCTGAGGTCAGGAGTTCGAGACCAGCCTGGCCAACATGGTGAAACTATCTCTACTAAAAGTACAGAAATTAGCCGGGCATGGCAGCACATGCCTGTAATCCCAGCTACTCAGGAGGCCGAGGCAGGAGAATTGCTTGAATCCCGTATGCGGAGGTTGCAGTGAGCTGAGATCATGCCACTGCATTCCAGCCTGGGCAACAGAGCAAGAGTCAATAAATAAATAAAAAAATAAATAAAAGAATGCATTAAGTTGCATTAAGTGCCGACTACCATGATCCTTTCTTTATAAACCATCAAATGCACGTTTGCATCTAGGACGAAAGAACCCCAGTAGACATTCAAACCACTAACAGGGATGACTGCATGGTTGTGAGACTGAAGATTGATTTTTGCTCACTGAGCTCTTTTACTTTTTCCACAGTCTGTTTAATGACGGGATATTCCTATTCAATAGAAACATTTCCACAAAGGGTGAAGACATTTGAGCCCCAGAGGGAAAGAGATTAAGAGACAAGCACTCTCCCTTCTCCATATAGATAAATAACTGAAGATGAACTTAGGGCAAGATGCCTTCCTCTGAGGAACGGACAATGTTTAGGGACCAAGGGTGACTCAGAACTCATGGTTCCTCCCATGAGGCTCCACTGGCCCTTCCCATGCTCACCGTGGTGTTCACACCTCAACTTACCTAGGGTGCCATCAGAAAAATGAGTGTCAGAGCTCACCCTGAAAGCAGTTTTTGGTTCCAGTCTCCCTGCTCCTATCTCTTGACCTTTCAGGAACTCCAGACCCCCGTATGACAGAGTTGACCCAACACCCATGGGAAACTCACTCCAGGTCCTGGAGATGACAAGATGGTTCTCTCATGACCTCGCACAGAAGCTTCATGCCGTTGTCTTCCACAGGGTTCACGCTAAGGCTCAGGTGCGTCAGCCACGCGTTACCCATCAGCGCAAGTGCAAGAAAACCACAGCCAGCCGTGTCCAGGTTGCACCGATTCAGCCTGTGGGCGCACACACGGGAAAGAAGATCAGGACACTCATTCTCCGGCATGACCTCAAGTGAGCTGCTGCTCTCCTCCCAGCTCCAGTCTGCTTCTGTGTAGGAAGGGGTCATAATTGTTTTCTTTTTCTTTTCTTTTTTTGAGGAGTCTTGCTCTGTCACCCAGGCTGGAGTGCAGTGGGGCAAGCTCTCAGTTCACCACAGCCTCCGCCTCCTGGGCACAAGCGATTCTGCTGTCTCAGCCTCCCGAGTAGCTGGGATTACAGGCATGGGCCACCACGCCTGGCTAATTTTTGTATTTTTAGTAGAGTTGGGATTTTACGATATTGATCAGGATGGTCTCGAACTCCCGACCTTGTGATCCACCCCACCTCGGCCTACCCAAAGTGCTGGGATTACAGGTGTGAGCCACTGTGCCCGGCCAGGTTTAAGACCTTCCCTCTGACAGAACCTGCCCAAATAAGGAGGAACCAGAAAACCAACTCTGGTAATACGACAAAACAAGGCTGTTTAACCTCCCCCCAAAATCACACTAGTTCACCAGCAATGGATCCAAACCAAGAAGATATCCTTGATTTTCCTGAAAAAGAATTCAAGAGGTTAGTTATTAAGCTAATCGGGGAGCGATTAGAGAACTGTGAAGCCTAATGCAAGGAAATCCGAAATATGATACAAGCGAAGGGAGAAATATTTAAGGAAATAGCTTAAAGAAAAAACAAAAAATCAGGAAACTTCGGACAAATTTTTTTTTTTTTTTTTTTTTTT